CCCCTCTGGCTCCCTGGCTCTCTGGCTCTCTCGCTCACCACCTCTTTACAAGTATTTCCTTTCACATCGTACACTCTCCCGTATCTGTCCCCACTCCTCTGAGTCCACTCCATCTGAGATGAGCGTGGTGAGCTCACGCTACGACGTCACAGTGAGCTGCACCCGGCCGTTACTGTTGGCATAGTGAGACAGCGCTTACCGGAGACTTCCATATAAGCTTACGCTGCGCCGACCACTTGGCCACCACCCTGTCGCTTCCCGCGGTGACAAACGACACCTCCTCGTTGCAGGTGGCCAAGCCCGACAGCTGTTTACTGTGGCCGAACACCACCTGTGGATCACGCACAGATGCTCGCGTGAGGCCCACTGGGGTAAGCGAAGAGAACGAGCATCGAACATCGAGAACGAGCATAAAATACGAACGTCGCAAAGGTGGCGGGCGCACTCATCCATTAGTGACCCAAGGAGTGGCTTCAGGAAGGGAGGCTGCATGCTTTCTTCCAGTATTATCTTCCCATCGCAGAGGAGCGCAGGACCCACCGTGTTGAAGCGACGCATCATGGACCCCTCCAGGATCATGTTCCTGATTGTGCCGACGTAGATGTTGCCGTCATTGGTGCCGACCCGCTGCGGACACAGTGTCCGGATGCTGCCGGCCGCCTCTGGCAGCTGTAAAGGTCATACGAGGTTAGACGCTGTCGCCTCGGCCTCGCCTGCAGGTGACCGCGGTCAGCTGAGGTCTCTGGAGGTCAGCGGAGATAAACTGCTTTCGGTACGGATTACTAAAGATCAGAAGTGGTCAACAGAGGTCAATCCAGATTATGTGAGGTCAGCTGAGATATGTGGATGTCAACGAATGTCAACTGTTATCGGTGCAGGTCATCCAAAGTCAGAAGGATTCCAGAGAACGCAGGTCATTTGAAACAAATCATCATTAAGCTTCATAATGAAGTAACTAACGAGGTTACATAGTGAGGCAAGATGAGGTCAGAGGGGCGAACCGAGCTCAGACCACCAAACCACGCGATGGTGGGCCTCAGCCGACCGACTAATGCCGTGCAAATCTCAACCGTCAGTTTTCACGGTCCCTGTTCTTTCCCCTTCGGTGAAATGAATCGATATAAGTATGTGTGCAACCACTGCTAGAAACAAAGCCACCTAACTCGTAAAGCTGGTGAGCACGTGTTCTGCTGCATGCCGAGAGGATTTAAACTCCTTCATAGTGATCGTTATCATTCGAAGTGTTCGCTGCTCCCATTAGCATGCCAAACAGTCGTTCACATGCACAGAGACGGTCGATCGCTGGCGCACGGCAGCGACCAAAAACCGTCTCTTAGTTATCCAGCTATTTCAGGAGGTCGCCATGGCAACCCACAAACAGGGTCCCGGTGACAAACAGCAGGAGGGACACCGGACAGAGCATGGGTCACGCCAGTTCGCCTATCGTGTCTTGAGACAATATTATGGCCGCGGGAAATGGTGTCAGGCGTGGGAGACACGCTAACTGACCATCACACGAGCTCAAGCCTCGGCAGTCAGACCGTAATGAGGCGAGGCCACGGAGCAGAGGCGGACGCCTTCTTGCCGTAGTGCCTGCCCTAGAAAGCTCCGTAGTCACGGGCCTTGCACTGGCCCCCTATGTCACCGTGGGCATGTGAGCGTGGCTAAGCCTGTCGGTGAACTTCGCGAATGCATTAGCTCCCCGTCCAGCGCAAATGGAAGTTTTAAATGACTTCCTCGGCACAGTTTCAGTGTAACGAGCATTGTTTTAAGACCTGGCTCTTATGGCAGCGGTCAAATAATGGCTCTTTACGCGCGTTTTTAACGCGATGAGTTGACCAAGTAAACAAACCAACAGAATCAGACACCCAGCGCAGTTTACACGACTGCATGTTCCATTGATTTATAGATTGTCGGAACCTGTTAAGACCATCCACCCTACAAGCTAGATGACTCTGAATAGGTCGCTAAGGCTCGAGAGAACGATGCAAACTGCAAATAGCTCTAAATAAATTACAAAGTGAGGTGAACGGTATAGAATGTATTTTACTTCACAGGAGAAACGGAAGACTGAAAAGCAGCATCCATGTTGTTTAGATGTTAAGCATGCGAAGAGGAACTTAATAGCGTTTAACACTCCCATGGTTGCGTGGTTTTTCTCGAGGCAGAGAAAGAGACATATCACATTCTAGATTAGCGGGCGGCTTTTGCAACTCTAACATGTGAGTGCATTCTTACAAGAATATATATATATATATATATATATATATATATATATATATATATATATATATGCATATATAAAGATGCATATCTATATGCATATATATATGCATTAAATATATGTATACAAACACATCTATATGCATATATATGCATTACATATATATATATATATATATATATATATATATATATATATACGGCCTGAGGAGCAGAGCGGCCAGGCCATGCTGCCGGCGCGGCACGGCGCCGGACCTGGCTACTCGCCAGCTGGCTACTCGCCCTGGTCTCGCCCCGGACCTGGCTACTGGCTGGCTACTCGCCCTGGTCTCGGCGCGCTTGCTGTAGCCGTGCTCGCAGTCCCAGGCGCAGATCTTGCGGTCGCGCTCGCCGCCAGAGAGCAGCGTCACTTCGGACAACAGCAGCAGCGCCGTCACCGCGCACGAGTGCGCCTGGCAACAGGCGCAGAGTCAGGTGACCGGCACAGGCACGGCGCGCGAGGGCGGTGGTGGCAGGCGGTGGTGGCGGGCGGTGGTGGTGGATTTATCAGCGGAAAGGAACACACGGAGGCAACAATTCTCAGAATATTTGACTGGCGGTGAGGAGAAACTCCACCAAGGCTGCGAGAAGCTAATCGTAACTACCGAGCACGGAGGCCGGTTCCAGTTGCGTGATGTTTTGCTCTGTTCCGGGCGGGCAGATCTCTAGTATTAGTCGGAGCCATACTCACCTCAAAGTCGAGCTTTTTGCGATAGTCTCCGTTGTTGTCGATTGTCCACGTGGTGATAAATCCCTCTGAATCTCCCGTTATGAGGTCTCCTCCGGCCTCAAAAGCAACACTTAACACTGTTTTTCTCGTAGACTGGAAACGTAACAGTGTTGTGAACGTAGGCATTCCTCGCTTATGTGCAGGTCTGGCCCGAGCAGCCATGGATGGAGCTTGGCCGCATACTTGGACGGCTTCGAGCCCCCTCTCTCAATGCTTCTGAGCACTGGCATTAGTGTCAAGCATATAATGAATAGGTAAACATCCTTATGTCCTTGTTCTTATTCACATGGTTCTGTCAGCTCTGTTGGCCTCTTGCGAGGGCTGTATGCCTGTCATTACGCTTAATCGCGCACCAGACGGGGACTAACGGCCAAAACATTATGCGAGAACCTGGCACGACTTTCGGACATTACCGATTGGTTGCAATAACTGAGAATACAGCATCGCTTTGGATTACATCATCTGACCCCAACATAAAACCACATGCAATGACTCTGTTCCGCCGTCCGCTGAGGCAGTTCGCCAGCTTACCCCGGCGAAGAGGTCCGTCGCGTCGAAGATGCCGTCCCGTCGCCGGGTCCAGAAGGTCAGGTGGTCCTTGCCGTGGGTCACGATCAGATTGTTGTCCATTGGGTGAAACTTGGCGCCGAACACGGGGTCTTGGTGCGTCTGTAATGCCGGGATAGCCGGGATTCGCGGTCCGTCCATCCAGATCTTACTTAGCGCAGAACCTGTTCGCCATGGAGGCGTCCATCTAGATACAGTTTACCGTAGAAGCATCGCGCGGACGTCAGTTGGAGAGTACTTGTTCCGTATTTCATCCTTGCTACAAGGACGTGAATGCACAACTTTGCATTATTTCACGACCTCATTCACGGAACACGTAAGCCAAGCAGCCCTCAGGACAAAGGGCCCTGTGGTCCTTTGTCAGCCGGTCTGCAGACCACGCGGCGCCGTGTGGTCCTTCGTCAGTCGGTCTGCAGACCACGCGGCGCCGTGTGGTCCTTCGTCAGCCGGTCTGCAGACCACGCGGCGCCGTGCGGTCCTCCGCCAGCCGGTCTGCAGACCACGCGGTGCCGTGCGGTCCTTCGTCAGCCGGTCTGCGGACCCCGCGGCACCGTGCGGTCCTCCGTCAGCCGGTCTGCGGACCCCGCAACGCCGTGTGGTCCTTCGTCAGCCGGCCTGCGGACCCAACGGCGCCGCCGGCCGGACTTACCGCCACGCGGCCGAGCAGCTGCTGGTTGTGCCAGGTCCAGACGGACATGAGGTGCTCCTCGCCGGCGTCCACGGCCAGCAGGTGGGCGCCCTGGTTACGCAGCGAGAAGGCCAGGCCCGACACACCCAGCTGAAGCTCGCGGCCCGAGAACAGGTGCAGCGTGTCGAGCCGGTCCACGCCCCACACGCGCACGGCACCGAACAGGGAGCCGGTGCCCGCCCGTTGTCCGGACGCCACCACATGCTTGGACGGGTGTACGTCCATACTGCGGCGCACGGAGGGCCGATTAGGGTAACAGGCGGCGCACAGGCCCGTGCAGGGCGGCGTCCATTCTCTGTCATTCTTTGGTCATTTCACGGCACACGTCGAGGCGTGCAGTAAATTCTGGCTACCAGTGCCCTAATGTGTCGTGACAACTGCAACAGCAAAACCTGGGTCAAGCCGATAATAAATCCGGAAGAAACAATGCCACTTTCATGAGGCAGGAGCTTTAACTCTGCGGTGAGGCCGCGTGATGTTTTGTGCTATGATGTTTTATGCTAAAGGCCGCGAGTTCTCTCGCTCGCAGCGCTCTAGCGATTAGTCGCCTGCGTCACCCCACGCCTCACCATTGTATATCCTCCGTGTGGTCTGTGTAATGGCGCTGCGTGTCGGACCTCCTGTTGAGCAGGACGGCCACGGTGGCCACGTAGTACAGAAGCTCCCCGGAGGGCAGGACCCACAGGTTGTGCCGACTGTCTGCGCCACGGTACCCGTATCTGCTCCTCAGGTCAAGGAACTACGACGCAGCGACAGACAATGCAAGCGGTTTGAAGCATCGACGAACTGCATGCAACGTGCATTCACTAGGTTTGGGCAGGTAGCCTAGAAACCAGCCGCTTGACCGGGCCGTCGTTCCAATTTCCATATGATTCGGCATGGCTGTCCGCCATGCCACCATTGCTCGGGCGTGACGACGGCCGACTCGGCTGACTTTGGTTCCCGAGGAACGGGCGGCTGGTGCTTAGCGTGACTGAATAAGGCATGCTGTACGACTAAGGCGTCACGACTCCCCTCAGTCATGCCACCGGGCTTCAGATCGGTGCTGAGCTGTGCGGAGTGCCTGCCACCACAGCCGCCCCCTGCACCACGTCCTCGGCGAGCGAACGACGGCGGTAAGAACATACCCGGACGACCGCGGCACGACAGCACGAAATTTGCGCAAGCACCCGTGCCGCGAACGAGAAGTCGCTGACACTTATGTTGTGGATGTGGAAAACGGTCTGGCTTGATTACACTTGTGATGTATCTTAACGTACCGCGTGAGGTGAGTGATGTGTGATTCGCGAAGTTTCGCGACGCTCCTATAACGTTTTGCCAAACTATTCAAACGATAAGAGAGACTGTGGTCGGCACAATCTGAGGTAAAATGGTGAAAAAGCTTCATATTATTGGACCAGTCACTGAAATACCTCGGATCGATCTTTGACCCATCAGAGACACGAGACACTTTCAGACAGACACAGACAGACACACACATCAGAGACGCTCCGAAGTGTTCGGAGCTCAGGAGCCTCTCCAGGCAATGAGTGGTCTCAGGCGCATTTCGATTAGTTCTTTCTGTACAGAGGCCATACGCTTAGTGCCGAATTTCCTCAAATATGTGCGGCCTAAGGCCTCCCAAGGCTGTCCCCATACTCTGCACCACATCCATCCCAACTCGACGACGCATGCGCCCTTGTGAAATCACGCTGAGGTGTTGTGAAATCACGCTGAGGTGTTGTGAAATCACGCTGAGGTGTTGTGAAATTCACGCTGAGGTGTTGTGAAATTCACGTTGACGGACTACGATATACGTTTTGTTTCCTCATCTCCAGCGAGTTCAGTTAATATCCGAGAATAAATGTACGAAAAAAATCCTTAAGTGCACAAACATATACAGTTAATAGGCGTTATCCCAGTACTCGGTGCAATTTCGATATCAGGCCTATGATGAGGTAGTACAAGGGTGCAATTGGAAATGGTGTCCTTCCAACTTGTCAACGTTTTTACGCTCCTAAAATATAAATGATGTCGAATGCCTGATACACGTACATACAAGACCACAAACAAACGAATAATAACACTACGCACAAGCATCCTATCACAGAGGCCGGGAGCGTGAGTCTTTTGACAATGGTCCGCCATTTCGTTCAAAAGGATACGCCCACTCGAGCTTCAGTCGCCGGTCGGGTGGCATGGAGTCGCGGCGCGGCTCCTTGGTGGGCCGGTAGAGGCTGCGGGTCTGGCCTAGCAGGCTGACCCTGATCCGCGCCTTCTCGGCGGCGCTGCGGGCTCCGGCGCCGCCTCTGGCTCCGGTTCCGTCCGAAGCCGAGTCGGCGCGGCCGCGCGCCGGTGCCGCCTTCCGGCTTCCGACTGCAGGAGGAACGCGGCGGGGCTGGTCAGGGTGCGGGCTGGGCCCCGCTTACCGACCCATGGACCCCTGTCACCTGACCACCGACCTCTGTCATCTGACCACCGACCCCTGTCATCTGAGCGCTGGCCACTGTCATCTGACTACCGGCCCCTGTCATCTGACTACCGGCCCCTGTCATCTGACCACCGGACCCTGTCATCTGGTCACCGGCCCCTCTCATCTGACTACCGGCAATTGTCATCTGACCACCCGCCCCTGTCATCCCCCTCATCACACAGCGACACCTGCACCAAGGAAAGCGGTGTTATGGCTTGCAAGGCATAGTTATGTGCACTCTTCTTTACGGACTGTAGCCGTACTGTCACGTAATCTACAGCTCATGCCAGTTGAATAACCGAAACCAGCTCATGCAGTTAATTGTGCCCAAGTCTGTTATATGTGGATTAGGCTGCGCGAACAGCAAAGGTCATTTCGCGACCTATGCCTAACAAGGAAAACAAAGCACGAAAGCAGCTGCATGCTTAGCAAAAAAAGGTTCATTTACTGTAATCCTACCATCACTAGAACGCACGGTATATGAGATTGATCACATATTACCCTGCCCTTTAGACACCATAACACCGTCCACACCTGCCTTCTGCGCAGCGGAGGCAAATGTGCTACTGAAGCTGTCCTGTGCAGCGGAGGCAAAGGTGCTACTGAAACTGTACGCACCCACACGGGGCGGCCGGCTGCAATGCTAAAATACATCTGGACTTGAAGGTTGTAAATTGGCAGCACGTGCAAAACTTGAGTACAATTTACACTCAAAGTAGGGCGTATGGCCCTGAGGGATATGCATATATATATATATATATATATATATATATATATATATATATATATATATTGTGTGTATGTGCACGCGCGCCGAGAAATTTAACATCTTCCTTTCGCTGCGTCTTGACGACCGCAGTGTCATCCTCAGCAAATGGCTCAAGTCAGGGACGCTCGAGTTATACGGACTGCACTCCGTCAGCGTGCAGCAGGGGCTCGCTCGTCTGTGTGCAGGCCGCTGCCCAGCGGACACCGGCGCGCGGGGCTCCACTCGCCTTGCATGGCGGGCTCACTGTTGTAGCGACGCAGCAGCGCCGTCTCCTGCTTCTGGTCCACGATGGTGCGGAAGGCCGGGTCGGCAGCGACTTTGGTGCCACGGATCGCCGTTGGCCCGCCGCCAGCCAGGTAGAACGTGTCCGTCTCAGGGAAGTCGTTCCGCAGCTGCGAGAAGCTCTTCACCTGCAGGCGTGACGTCACGGGGATGGTGACGTCACCGAGTATCGGTGGCGTCGCGGAAACGAGGCGAGGTATAAGGTGATGTCAGACACCACCCGCAGGTGACTGGTGGTCTTCGGCGTTAGCTGAGGAAGGTGTCACTCTCATCTCCGCTTGCTCTCAGCTTTCATGGGTCCCTCCAAACGGCACCCCTGTCTCCCGTGACGTGTCAGCTGCCAGGGCCGGCGGGTCATCAACAGTGTGGTGCATGCAACTCTGTAAGCCACACCAAGCGACTCGTGCGAACACCCGACACGACGTCACCTACAACTTCCGCTTTCACCGGTCGAGATCTGCGTGCCAAAACATGTAGCACATGGAAGCCGGAAAACATCAAGCCAGGTGGCTTTGTCGGTTATACTGTACGTCCTAAACGCGCGGTCTATATAAATGCAGGCCTATCGGCGACAGCCGAGATCGCCAGGTGCGGTGATGCCCACGATGTACCTTTCCAACTGCTGCGGTGTGCATGCGTAATGCGTATTTCTGTCAATACCTATGAGCCAACGGGTCTGTAACCTTTCTTCGCAGTCTCTCAATGCCCCGCATCCTGCAGCCGTATATTTTAACGTGCGAGAATTCCCCCCCCCCTTTCTTAAAAGTCATGGGAGCCTTATTCGGCGATCGAGGCTAGTTTTAGTGTTGAGTAATTCCCCTTTGAGGGCTCACCCTAATATCATGGCCGAACCACGGTGCCTATTCTTGAGCCCGAACGGCACGCAAGGTATGCCAAAAGTCGGGCAAATTGGCACACCGTGGCAGGCAAACATCTGTCATACACAACATGATTGGCACGATCCAATTGGAGTAATAATCACATGGCGAACACGCATGAACAAATCAGCATCTTGGTCGAGGAGAGCACTGGTATCAGTCTGCCTCAAGGCATGTATTCCGGACATATCTCAAGATCACGTCAATCTGCTTAAGAATTGGGGCGTGCGAAGCGTTGCACCGAGAAGAAACTTGGTAGGGGAAGTTCTATCGGGTGCATATCCCAGAATTTACGGACTTAACCACAGCTTAAATGGTGCTGGGCTCTACGTGCGTTTCTGTATAATTGTGCTAGGTCAATGCCGCAAAATATTCCGATCAGCCGTAAACTGCGGTCGGCTGGATCCCACGGACCACAGCCGTGGTTAAGTCTATGCCTGATCCAAATTACTCACGGCACCTCGTCACGCGTTTCTCACGCGACCTGACGGTCCGCTGAGCCCACGAGGCGTGGCTTCTGATGGCTGAGGTCCGCCAGCAGGCGGATTTCGCGTCACGAGGTACTGGTCTTGTGATCAAACATGCCGGCCGAATCTGACCAGCCCACGGCTTTTCGACGCCTGACGTGCTGCTGTACTTTCCATGTCTACTGACAACTCGAGTTCTCATGCTCGATGTTTTCTGTAGAAAAATAATGTTTTCTGCGGATCCCCCTTCCCTCTGCCCGGCAGTATTTGACGTGCGAGAAGACAAAGTGAAAGACCAGTTAAGGAAGAACGCCAAAGAAAACATAGCAACGAAGGCAACACAGACCGTTGCGCGTGCGAAAACACTTCCGCGATAACACGCGCACGCTAAGGTTCCAGAGAATAGACTACGAAAAAACACTTTCGAGTATTCTGGCCTGCGTAGACGAAAGAGAGAGAGAGAGAGAGAGAGAAAGAGAGAGAGAGAGAGAGAGAGAGAGAGAGAGAGAGAGAGAGAGGAGAGAGAGGAGGAGAGAGAGAGAGAGATAGAGAGAGGAGAGAGAGGAGAGAGAGAGGAGACGAGAGGAGAAAGAGAGAGAGGAGAGAGAGAGAGAGGGACACTTCTCGCACGTTAAAATATACGGCTGCAGGATGCGGGGCACTGAGAGACTGCGAAGAAAGGTCACAGACCCGTTGGCCCATAGGTATTGACAGAAATACGCATTAAGCATGCACACCGCAGCAGTTGGAAAGGTACATCGTGGGCATCACCGCGCCTGGCAGTCTCGGATGTCGCCGATAGGCCTGCATTTATATAGACCGTGCGTTTAGGACGTACAGTATAACCGACAAAGCCACCTGGCTTGATGTTTTCCGACTTCCATGTGCTACATGTTTTGGCACGCAGATCCCGACCGGTGAAACCGGAAGTTGTAGGTGACGTCGTGGTCGGGTGTTCGCGTGAGTCGCTTGGTGTGGCTTACAGAGTTGCATGCACCACACTGTTGACGACCCGCCGGCCCTGGCAGCTGACACGTCACGGGAGACAGGGTGCCGTTTGGAGGGACCCATGCCTTTAGATAGGATGCCGGGGTTGTGGAAGTCACTGGGACACCGTGACTTTAGAGGGGACGGGGTAAACGCAGCGGAGACAGCATGATGCTGAATACAATTTCAAGAAGTGATGTGGCTGGCATAAGCGGCCGAAAACTGCAGCACTTTGGATGTTCACGACATTAGGAACAAATCACTATTGAAAAAAGGAAGGGCCTAAGAGAACCTCCACATAACCCACATTTGCAACGAGCAATAGCGTGATTTATTTTCTTCGCCTCTGCAAGTGTTGGGTACTAAAAGGTATGACACATAGACTGCACATGACACACATACACACAGACACACACACGCACACACACACACACACACACACACACACACACACACACACACACACACACACACACACACACACACACACAAATACATGAAAGCTACGGGGGCACAAAAGCTTGTCACAACAGAAAGGAACAGCATAACAGCGTTCTTGCCACGTATCACGCACTCACGTTGAGAAAACAGACGTGCTTGTCTTTATAGATGCATGCAAGTTGTCCAGATTTCCGACACCAGTCAGCAGCAGCAATGGATACGTATGGCAGCAACGCTAATGGCACCAACGTGTAGCGAGGACCACGGACTGCATCTCCTGCACTGGTGAGGAATACTTCGTGGACAGTGCAGACCTGCAGCTCGATTCCGCGTATCCATCAGGAACAGCCGCTGAAAAAGCCCAAGCCCTTCACGCGGCGAAGGAAAGCCGTCAGTCATAGTCCGTACTAAAAAAACATCAGCCAGAACGAAAAGTTTCCAGTCTAGGCGTGGCACAAGGCACTGACCTCTTGACCCCACGTGGTGTACATTTTGGAGGCGTCCTTCACCCTCACTACCTGTCCCAGGTCTGCAAGAACATCTTCAAACGGTTGCGTAGTTTTCAGGTTAAGGAGTACCCGGCTCTGGAAAAAAGACGGTAATGACATTATGCATGCATATTTACCACATAAAAGATGTTCAGTTTGATTGAGGGGTACTACTACTGCTGGTGCTTTGCTGGGTTGATGTTCACGCTAAGGTACTGAACTATGGATGCTATAATTATAAAACTATGGATTGGGTGCCGATACATCATGAAAACCATAGATCGCTTATTTACGCCGGGAAAACGATGAGACGTAGGGTGGCTAATTGCGTGCGGTTTGTAATATGTATGCAAAAATGAACCAGCACCATAAGCACAGGTCATGTCAAGCACCCCCCCAATCACAGTTCAAACATTACATATTCTGGTGCCCAGCTCGCAGCTTGGGAGCTTAGCGCAGCACCCATTGCTTAGGGCGTGAAACGTTGTTGGGTTTCGATGCTTCCGACCCATTAGCACCATGCTTTAAGCTAGGTGAAGGAAGATGCTTGCGTAGAGAACAACTGCTAACAACTCTGTAAGGTGTCTTAATTCACCTTGCAAGTCACCCCTCCTTCCGTTCCCTTCTCTCGTGAGACCGACCAGCAGCAACCATTAGTACGTGTCCATCCCGTGGGACCCTCTCGCCGTCCATAAGGTCGTAACAGCCTCTAGTATGCCCGATCCGTAGCACCCTTCCTTCCAGCCGTCCCGCGCCACCCTGTCCTCCTGGCCGTTCCGTGCCGTCCCTTGGTCTGTCCTCCCCTGCCCCCATTTGACCGCCCTCGCCGCCCTCTCTCCACCCACCTGCACCGAGTGGTCGGTGTTGCTGACGATCTTAATGATGCGGCCATCGCCAGAGCGGCGGCCCGTTTTGCCGTTGGTGTCGCCAGAGCCGGCGCCGGCGCCCGTCTTGAAGCCGCGCCTGAGCACCGGTGAGAGTGGCTTGACCCGGTGCCGGCGCGGCTTATAGTGGCGCGTCGTGACCTCCTGTGACCCAGGCTGCGTGCGCCGCTCCAGCGTCTGCATACCGTACGGCACCTTCTGCGGGAACCCGCGGGGCGGGGCGGGGACTAGCGGGACGCAGCGGCAACGGCGAGGTACTTTGCATTCGTTCAGAGATGAAGGAGACATAAAAAGAAAAGAGCATGTGAAGCCAAGAACGTGGCCTGCCACCGCCACAAGCGATCGCATCCACCTTGCTCCGAATATCAAAGTTTAATCCTGGATCCGGGACGCATCTTGTCACACCGGTGCTTTGGCTGCGACCGTCCGCCGTGATATCAGCCGCGGCGGCTCCCATCCCACCCCAGACCGGGCAGCTGATCGGCGGAGCAAGCACGGCCAAATGTGTTGTGGGATTCCCTCTGCGATAACCCAACGGGTCTGGGTGGAGGTAGGGTGGTTGTGGCTTTGTCGTACCTTTTGTCCGCTCTTAGTCCTCCCCAACATCGAAATACAGACCGAAGGAGCTCGAGCCTAACCAAAGTAAACGAGTGACCGCATCATGATTTTCATGACACGTACGATCCCCCACCGCCACCTGGCACAAAGTATGCGGTAAACTCAACACCATCGTGTTCACCCAAAGGGCCAACAGCAAAAGGGATCGAGAGAAGCAGACACCACCCGAAAAGCAGGATCACACTTGCGCAAACAGCGGTTCTGGCAGCCCCAAAGCACCACCAGTGCAGGACCAGTTCCAGTCCTCACCGAGCCTGCGCCTCCGCACCAGCGCCGTGTGCCACCGAGCCTGCGCCTCCGCACCAGCGCCGTGTGCCACCGAGCCTGCGACTCCGCACCAGCGCCGTGTGCCACCGAGCCTGCGACTCCGCACCAGCGCCGTATGCCACCGAGCCTGCGACTCCGCACCAGCGCCGTGTGCCACCGAGCCTGCGGCCGTCACCGTCTGCCGAAGCTGAGCGTCTGTGCTCCCTGACCAGCACCAGACCAGCTCCGTCCCGAGCGCGGCGTCACGCGGGTCCGGCCGGCTCGGCGACCGGGGCCCACCTGACCGGCCGCCGTCCGAGCGGCCAGCAAATCTCAGTAGCATTAACGAGCTGTTTGCTCGGGCGCCGCCGGACGGCGGACCTCCGGGATAAGCGGGCTTAACGACGGCGCCGACAGGGGATCCGTGCGCCGCCAGCCCCAGCCGGCGCCGTCCGGCGCTAATGCCGCTAAGCCGTAAAGGGAATAACTGGGGCGATGAGTGTCGACTTCCGGACGGGGCTTGTTGAGGTGCTACGACTTCCTAGAATTGCCATGATTTTCCCGTGCGTGGGCAGTCGAAGAAATCGATCGGGATTAAGGTCATTGACTGTGTCATGCTTCAAGTGAAACGATGAGACAGTGTTGATATCCTTATTCCTTGTAGACTAAACAGAAGAATATAAAGATTGCATGATATGTCGGCTTCATGCCTTTGTCGAAACGAATATCAGGAACCGCGTGTATCAGGAGCCTACTAATATTCGTTTCGATAAACGCATGTAGCCGAGACATTACATCTTTCTCTCCATTCTCCTGTGCATTCTACAATAAGGATACAAATATTATTCAGCAAGGAAATAGGGCTACTAATACACTCATCAATATGCATAATGCTCCTCGCAAATGCTCTTAACATCTTACGTAGTTCAAGTGTAACGGACTAATTGTACAATATCCACGCATAGCACAATTGCTTAAACGACACGAGGGCTGTCATCTAAGTGGAAGTTATTCTTGCAACCACTGAAAGACCTTTCGGTATTTTCAGAAAGACCTTTCAGTGTTTTCAGAAATATCTTTCAGTGTTTTCAGAAAGATGCTTCGGTGCCATATATCACAAAGAGCAGACGTGGGCTGAAATAAGATGGAAAAGTATCTTGTCTCCGTAAATGTTGCCATCACCCAACTGCAAGTCCTCTCATATGAATTATCTTAACCTCCTCCTCCTCCTAGCCCTCTATAATTGCGGAAGGAAAACAAACGGCTATTTTAAGCCAGCTATTGGGCTCACAAAGCGCCTGATTTGCAGCGCTGGCGAAAAGCCACCTCGACGTCTCCGAGTTCTGAACAGGCACGCGCATCACTGTGGTGATCTAGTCTGGCGCTGACCAGACTCCTAGCGCGACCCCGGTCCCGTTCACATCGCCAAGACGCCGCAATGGCGGCTCGGAGGCCCCTGTTGCTAGGCATAGAGCACTAGGCTAGGTAGCGAAACGTCTGTGGAAGGTAGGGAGTGAGGAGGGGGATGGGTGACAGATAGGATTTCTACATTGTTTCTTTTATGTACCGCCATAGGATTAATGTAAGATGATGTCCGGAGTTGGGGCAGGGGGCTGCCCCCAAGCTCTGCGCTCTTATCCACCGCCCTTGGCATGGCAGGCTTTTTCGGTGTCGTGATGTTACATAGTAACGATGCCGAAACGTTGCTGGTTTGTATAGATGACAACCATTTCTGTGGACATACTTTGAAAGCATGCCGTTGTCTCGCACACAAATGCATTATTTTTCATAAGGATTTCGTGAATAGCTTGCTTGCTCTTCATGCCCCATTATAACATTGAAACGAAAAATTGCTGAGATTATATGCCAGAGTTTTACTTAAAGCCGACACCAAATTACGCGCAATGTTGGTATGCAAGGCGTAAATGCGTTTGACATTTGTGTCAACAGATCTTCCAGGGTCCCGAACGCACATCTAATATGTCAAATACCTGCTAAGGCCGAAATGGATTCTTGTTTTGCAACGTTCTCCTATATCTATTTTAGTAATCAATCTTATCCAGAGCCAAATCCTAATAGTAAATTAGTCATCTGGGTTGACAAACGTTTTACCCCAAGTTGCTCCGGCATCAATCATTGAAGGCTTGCCTCAAGATGTTTTCCATTTCCAATGATAATATTCTCCACTATATATATATATATATATATATATATATATATATATATATATATATAGTGGGTGTGGGTGTGGGTGTGGGTGTGTGTACATTCTATTTCTATCTCAGTAACTGCTTTACAATAACACCATTGCTATTTATGACGTCAACGCACTTGTACGCCTTGAAGGCGTCTAAGAAGTAATTCGTGCCTGACAAGAAGCTAAATAGTGGTTTTGTGGCCGTGCGTTTTTATGAAGCTTGTCCTAGAATTGTCCTATAGATCTGAGTGACTCCCAGCGATCAGCAAAGACAACGCGGTGTTCACCAGGTGTTCGTGTACACACGCCGTGGGTGGCATGGCGTAGCGTGGCCGAACGCCTAGAAGTAATAAACAAGTACATGATGTAATTTAGCACACTTCAGAATGATGACTCTCCAATGGGTGCCGTACTGCAACCTCCGGCGCAGGAGTTCCGTTTTGGCCGAATAGGAATTAATTCCTTACTTTGGTGTTGAGTAAAGATGATGAAATTACTGGATTTCAATGTAAGTGTCTGTGGCAAAGAAAGTTTTGATGTGGAAATAGCAGTATTGTTAAGCTAATCATTCCGTTTTTGCACCAGATGACTGCGGTTGTGGATGCCCGCAAATTTTCCCTCGTTTTCCACAAGATGATGAGATGTCTCTTAGTAGAGTCCATTAAAAAAACATATGTGTAGAGCCCGGCATTACCTGTGCCCTCAGTTTCTTGATAGTATAATCGTCTGTAGAATAAATGACCTTCGTGTGTTGTTATCAGTAAGCTCTCATTTAGAAACAATTAATCTGCATTGTACTAAGAGATACCGGTAAAGTGAAATTACCAAAGGAGCATTTGCTACATGGGATAAACGTGACGTTTCGAGGTGTGCTCATGGACACGAGTAAACAACGTTTAGCAATACGAATTACATTGCAAAACCGAGACACGTGAAGACAGACAATACTCCGATCCTGTGAGAACACTAATACTTCAAGGATATCAAGATGGTGGGGCATCCGAGGCCCCTGATCTAAACAGACGATGCACGGTACTACGCTATGGCAGCTCTCAGCGTAGCCATCCTATAAGTAGGAAATACTCGAAATGTGACTCTGCCTGCCCAGTAAGTGCTGGGGTCTGGACCGCACCAACCCAGCGGTGCCTTCCGCCCCATGAGATTTGGGACTAAAACAATGGCCAGGATCCGCCAGCCGGCTTCCGAATCCAACGGAGCATGGCCCGGTGAGCAGGGCACGTTTCATTAATGGTTTTCTCTGCACTAGATGGCATCTAATTGAGCATGGGCCTTTCGTTACCTGATGGGAAGTCTCAGAATTTTTTTTCCATCTTCTTAACCCTTGTCATGTAATGATGATGAAACGGTACGGGCAGTCTCAATTCAATTTTCAACAAATGCGGCTGATGATGTCCCAACTGAGGACCAAAAGGCGTGCATAAATGCGTCTAGATAAAAATGGTCATGTCATTTCGAGCGATGAGCACAGTGTTTCATGGCAGATTGCTAAGGATATCACTCTTTCCCTTATTACTCATTCATCGACCACTCATTTTTGCAACACCTGCTTTTGACGTGGTGTCGTTCCAGCGTCCAGGTATAATGCTTCATTCATCGCTAGCACCGGGACAATCGCTGAGGGAGGGGGCAGACGCACCTGGAAGGTCCTGGTCGACGAGCACACATAGCTGGCGCCGTCCAAGAGAAACTGAATCATGCGTACTCGGGAGCCATCCATGGCGAACACGTATCGGGCCCCGTTCGGCAGGTCTGAGGGCCGGCAAGGACGCAGGTTAAACGACGAGTCCAAGCAGCTCCCTCGCAATGGGCGTGGCAGCAATGGAGCCTCTGCTGGTCCAGACATGGCAGCGAGCGATCTGCTGCTGCTTCAGACACGAAATCAAGAACGGTACTCTCGTACAAGGGACGGCAGCGGGAGCAGCACTCCACACTAGACGTTGGAGCAGGTGAAGCACCCCGCTCCAGCCATATGAACAGACACAGTGCTCAGGCACCTGCCACAACAATAAAAACAGCGCCCCCGCTCCAGCCACGGCAACAGACAAAGCACTCCTGCGTCAGTCACGGCAACTTACGCAGCATTCCCTCTCCAGCCACGAAAACAGACACAGCGCTCTCGCTCCAGACACGGCAACAGACATGGTGCTCCCGCTTCAGCCACGACTGCAAACAAAGCGCTCCCGCTCCAGCCACGGCAGCATACACAGCGCTCCCGCTCTAGCCACGGCAACAGACACAGCGCTCCCGCTCCAGCCACGGTATCAGACACTGCGTTCCTGATCCAACCATGGGAACAGGTGTAGTGCTCCCTCTCCAACCACGGCAGCAGACACAGCGCTCTCGCTCCAGCTACGGCAACAGACATGGCGCTCCGCTCCAGCCACGGCAACAGACAAAGTACTGCGTCAGCCACGGCAACTTACAAAGCACTCCCTCTCCATCCACGGCAACAGACAAATCGCTCCCGCTCCAGCCACGGCAACAGACATGGCGCTCCCGCTCCAGCCACAGCAACAGACACGGTGCTCCTGCTCTAGACAAAGGAGCAGGCACAGCGCTTCCCGCTCCAGCCACGACAATAGACAAAGAGCTTCCGTTCTAGCCACGGCAACAGACACAGCGCTCCCCCTCCAGCCACGGTATCAGGCACAGCGTTCCTGATCCAACCATGGGAACAGGTACAGTGTTCCCGCTCCAGCCCCGGCAACAGGCACAGTGCTTTAGTTCCAGATATGACAACGCAATGTCCGTCGCCGTGCACAATTTTAACGATAACGATACAGCGGCGTTGGTAGGGTCCTGAGACCGGAGCATAGGCCGAGAATCAAGGCCAGACCTGCGACATGAAAATCCGCAAAACCACTCAGTTAAATACTTCGCTTCTTGTGGTTGGTCTTACGGCGGCCGGATTGTTCTACCGCTTGAGGGTCGGCTGGCCTTCCATCACGATACAATTATTGCAATTATACCGTTTGACGGACACGGAAAATGCATGTAAGTACAAAGAAGCCTCTCGCTACATTATTGATACATTGATGCGAATCGCGACAGGTTCCGCTCCCGGGCAGCCATAAATTCTCCGGTCATCGATTGTCCATTGCCATGGTTACGGAATTCTGTTTACTCAACACTAGCGAATTCTCTCAGACAATTCACTCCACGGCAGTGGAGGCCTCTGAATCATTTCTGGTTGTTTGGCATGTTAGGAGTTCCTCACAAACGGCCACATGTCACTAATTTGCTGCGAGCGACACCGTGAACCAGGTCATTCCCAGCCCGCAGCCGCCCGAGCCGTGAGGGGTGATCCCCTCCTAGTTTCGGAAATAACTTCCCGAACAGTCACGCAGGCTCACCAAAGTTCCAGTGCGTGCCAGGTGATGAATTTGGCATATTCTGGTCGGAAAAACAATTTTGATTTCAGGTCACGTCGCACTAATAGTAAAGGTTCGCACGGCGGTTGCCGCCCCGCAGCGAATAATTCGCAACATTACTTCTTGTTTTGTATTGGTTCGATGTGGCACACCAACTCGCCGCAAGAAGTTATGCGACATCAGCCAATAAGAGTCGAGCTAATTCGACTTCTTACACCTATGTTTACGACATGTTAATCACGGACAAGTTCATATTGCTAACAGGTACATGTCATGAGAACCGTAAACACGGATAAGTAATTCGATGAGGGGACCTGAGCGTGACCTGTGATGATCTTAACCTGACTCAAACTTAATTTGACCTTAACATTTATATTCGATATCATGTTTTGATTCTGATACGGAGTGACACGCCTTTTCGTTCAGTTCCAGTTACACAGCTAAGCAACGATTATTACAGGTGCTGAAGCCTAAAAAATATGAGCACTGTTTGTTGATTTGTGGGATACTTTGCGTGGCCTCTGACGTCATGAGTCACGCGACAATATTAAACCAATTATTTATGACTGGGAGTGACCATAGCTACCGACTTTTTAAATTTGTGTTCCAGCGGGCGTTCAGATTCTGACTTAGTTCCTGATATTCTGAAGCATTTCCGTCAGACGGTTAACTCCTGAGAAGGGGCCACTTCTCATCTCCCAGGTGGTCGCGAGTGGCGAAAGGCACCAGACAGAGCCAGACTGGAGATGTTCCACTCGAACATTGCGAACTTGAGCGGCCTAATCCGGAATCATCGTAGATTCCAGCAGTTTCCGGCAGAGATAACGAAGGCGAGTGGCGGGCGGGGTGGCCCTGGGTGCCCGCCCTAATTTCTGAACAAAATAAATGATACTCCCAATGTAAATTGGTGCATCCGTGTTTTGTTTTCGTTCCGGGCTCCGCTTTTCCAAGCCCTCTTCTTCCATTAAAAATTGGTCAAGGCCGGATCTTATTTAGTATCGAAATTGTGCCTAAGTTTACATCGTTTTCTCCGTGAATTCTGGAGACGCGGAAATACACTCTAAGTCACTCTATATTCACAGGGTTAAGGAAATCAGCTGAAATGGTATTTGATCACGTGGTTTTTCATGACAAGAAGTGATAAAAAAATGATCCCCGTCGTTCTCTTCAGTCAATCCAGTCTGACAGGTTTTTCAAATTTGTTTCTCTTAAAAAAAACAATACAAAGCTTTACGATCCTGTGGCTCAGTTGCTAAGAACACTTACATGCAAGCTGCATATCAATTAGTAGACTCATCAAGCTGCAAGCTGCACTATTGTGTGACAAACAAACAAACAAACTGCACTTCATCAAGATGTAAGCCGCATCGTTTTCATCGCTACATTGCAATCTCAGAAAAAATAGGTTGGCAGCCAAACATGCCGAAATCATAACTGCTATGTAGAAGACATGCGTGTCACATACTTCTTTCTCATCGTCAAGTTTACCCCGGATGCAGTGATGCCTCGGCGGATCTCGCACAACCCAGGCAGACGAATGTGCCACAAATGCCCTGACGCGTTTAGATTGTCGAAACTGAAGAATACCGTTGCGTTCTAAAAAAATGAAAATAAAAAGCATGCATGTTTCTAAATCTATCGGACACGCGAAGTCAGAAACACACAGCAAATGAACCGCCGATGGTGTATGCTAGGTTGTGCCGGCCAATGCCCCCCCCCCCCCCCGTTCTTTCCCAAAATGCTGCGGTCTTTGCGTACTAATGTGTCGATACCTCTTGCGTGCGAGGGACAGAACGGATTGTTGTGCCGGGGACTGCAGCCGGCCGGACGTGCCGTGCCGGACGAACGTGCCGGACATCGCAGCACGTTAATCCCCCGCTCATATATATCTTTTTGAGCACTTTGGACACTGCCTTCGAGCCTGATTCTGTCTCACCTGATCTGACCTGGAGACCAACATACACCAACATTTCACACAAACAATTACACATAGTCTTGTCTACCGCGTATGTTTGATGTGTCTAGTTCTCTCACCTCATATATCTAAGAAAGGACCTACCTAAGTCGACCTAAGTTCGTTGACCTAAGTTGACCTAAGACCTAAGTTGACCTACTACCCGGGCGCGTCGTGTTTAACCGACCGCCCGGGCGCGTGCCAAAGACGTAGTCCGGACATTTCGATTGCATGGACTTTGGCGAGCAGACCCCATGGTAAGCAGCGCTTGTTACCTTAATCGCTGACCCCACCCTCAATCGCAGGACTTCGGGTCATGAACAGAATTATGAGCGAGGGCTTAACGTGCTGTGATGTCTGGCATGTTCGCAGCAGTCACCGGCTGAGCAATTCGTCCTGTCTTCTGCTGTCGCCTGACCTGAAGTGCGACCTCCGCCACCGGCCGCGACTCATCCCAGTCAAGAGCAAATAGCGAACTCTTAAAGAAGCTCGCAACTGTCCGCCAGGACAGCAGGTGGGTCCAAAAATAGGCGCTCTATCTAACCAACTGAGCTCCTGGGCACACAACGCCCAGTTGGGTGGGGTCGATGGACGCATCGACCCCAGCATCTACCTGTTGGGTCTGCATCGATTGGGACTCGGTGTTTCATGGTTCAGCGAAGCACTGCGCCTAAGTTAAAACGTGAACGCTAAATCAAGGCAAACTTCCCAGCTGTTGAAGTATCATATGGGAATATGTGCAGCTCTTGACTAATAGAAAGTCCAGTCTGCGCGATAAGAAATCTGGTTAGATGACTAAGTTGCTCATCGTGATGTAGCTTTCTTTCAGTGTGACATCAGTCGGTGCACGTTATGAGCTTTTCTTTTTCGGTTGCACCGAAACTTGTAATATCTTCACTGCTGGGCAGGGTATGGTGAGATGCAACACAAAATCTCAGGACGGGGCCATATCAGCTGGAGGAATGCCTGGATTGCACATGGTGCCTCCGGTTTCGACTGCTGCCAGGTGTCCTCCAGGTGCCATGATCGCTATCTCTAATGGCCTCTGTTGTTGTGGCTGCTTCTTGAAAGGCGTTGCGACGGCGTGCTTCAATCAGCCTTTGCCAATAAATTAGCTCATGATACAGAGCGAGATTAACTGGGGCTTAGCACGGCAAAGCTCGGTGCGAGTCAACAAGCAAGATATAATTCCCGACTACCTTCAACAAGTGTCGAAGTAATAACGACCGGTTTTCAGACAGAGAACCTCACTGTTGCACTTTAAGATTACTGAAATCACTTATTCAGAAGCTGTCATTTCTTGACTTACATATTCACACAGCGTGTCATATGCCGACTTCTCCACATGCCCTCCCTGTCACTCTCTGTGTCAGTATTTAAAACGCGGCAGACACAGGCGACAGTCTGAGCTTTGAGTGCGACTCTCTACGAAGAACGTCATCGAGCGATAGCATGGCGGCAGCGATAGCATTGCAATAGCATCACAAAGCTTGCGTCAAATCTAAGTTAGCCCAGTTTCGATTTAGCTTTTTAAGATCAGAGTTCTTATGCTAGCACGTATCGACCCTCAACATACCAGGAAACGCTGGTTAAAAGACGAGCCACCTGTAAGTACAAGTACACTGACGATGAAACAGCGGTTACTAGATACAAGATGTTGAGCAACGTTGATCATCAGGCAAACATTGATTATGTTGTAAATATTCGACTTTTCAAGCGGCGCTCTTGACCACGAGTGACCTGGTTTGGTGTCGCCGAACCGGTTCCGCGGCTGGTCTCCGCCATGTCCTGGCAAGCCGTCCAAGTGTAACAGAGAAGAACCTTACATAAACCCATGCATACATACATACATGCATACACATGCCATACACACACACACAATACCATACTATATATATATATATATATATATATATATATATATATATACATAACACGTACATAGTTTAGACGTACACACATACGAGCGAACAATGATTATGATATGATACTATACGGCGTATCATGAGCTACATTGTTATTACGCTAGACTACTTTTTTACAACTAAGGTTTTAACAGACGCTCAAATTCAAAACAACGAAATATTTGGGGCACAACTGACGATCAAACACAACCGAAGTCACCAAAGATCATTCGGCAGTGATTTGAGATAACACGAGATCATGCAGCGTACTCGAAATATTGTGACTTAATGAATAAATTTGTACATCAACTAACATTTATTCCTGTAAAAAGCTAGCAGATATTTGGTTTACACATGTCGTTTTAATCCAATGCTGCTGCATGCTTTATGATTTGTACGGTTTCTTCCTTTTTGTAAGCCGTTTTAAACCTGTAAGAGCTTGCTTGGCTAGGCCGAATTCTTTTCATGGGCCTTCGTTTCGGATGCTTCGGGAAATTTGCACCGAATTGGTCGGTATGTTTATCGATGCGTTACGGTGCATGCATGTACACTGTTCTGTATGAACCAACCTATGGTGGGTGATGGTATCGTGCCATTTCACATTAGGCATGCAGCTATGATGGGCAAAATATGTTCGATAATTTGTCAGATAATGTTTCTTTGTGCCAAAAAAAAAACAAGAGAAAACAACCCAATGAAAATTTGCCGGACATCCTGCATCTGGGATCGAGTTTTGTCACCGGCTCACGTGATAGTGTTCCATGGTTACTGCGCTGACCCTCACGACGAAAACCCTGATACTGATTGCTAATGGTCACACCCACACTAGTAGCATTTCCGGTGGCCGAGGGCGTGAGATCGAGGATCTGCTCCGTGTCAGACCTGAGTTTGGGCTCTAAATGAAGCGGTCTGCTTGGTTCGGTTATGACGTAGCAGTCAGCTGGCAACTGGCCGTAAGAGACCGGTGTGGCGCAGCGCGACCGTGTCGTGACAGTAGATACGGGAAAGGAAACATAGCCGTTCGTCCTGAGCCTGGACGCATGTACGGAGAGTCGCACACGAGCCGGGGGTGGATCTCTCAGGAAATACACCGAGGGACGCCGCGTATTTTGGCAAGACATCGAAGAAGAGCAAGCTAGGAACACATCGTTACACTCTCACTACAGCACATCAAAATCTAAAGGTGCGGGCCCCCACGGGAATGCCAGAGCCCAGTTCTGATGCTTCAGTTCTGGGTCACGGGTACATGCAGCTGTTGCTTTCCAGAGCGCCTAATGAACACTCAAGTCGGGGCTATTCCTTGTCTAAGCATACCTAAGTTCGTCCCTCGTAATCCGCAGCCCGCCAGGCGAAAATGTTCGGATACTCCGTGTCATTCGTATTTCTTTGCTAAGTGCCCATAGCCAGTACCGAAGTCTGTAATCCATCGCATCATCCAAGCGACTGAAATAATTTAGTTGCTGTCTGCCAAACAAGAACGGACGCATCAAAATGTTGGACCTAAAGTGAGATGCTACCAACATGCGTTTTATGCGGCATTCACTTCATTCGAATCTTGCTGGCAGACATTCAGAACATCCGCTAGCTGTGAAGACCAACCGCCGAAATCCGCACACAAATCAGCAAAAATGTACGAAAACCGTGCATCTGGAGGTGATATACGTCACACAATGGGCTGCAATTCGCCTGTCTTGAACCCATTTAGCAAACAGACGCTACTATCACGCAAAGTAGCTGGATTTAGTGTGATCATAACAAGGGGTGGCAGCGGGGAGGCTCGGTGCCAGCTGTATAAGCCCCTTCCCCCCCCCCCCCCCCATTGGGCCTACCGAGGACGACACCAAACAGCCACACGTGCTCCACGTGCAGCGTGCGACGCTAGGATTCCACCGGCTTCGCACCCCAACACATGCCGCAGGGTAGGGTAGGGACACCACCCATGTGTGGTGCCTATGTAGGTATGTGGTGTCATTACGCGGGCCAATTCGTCCGCCGTCGTGGGACGAAACACGTCAGTGATGGGGATCGCCGCCAAAGTCAGGGCCACTTCAGTGCAGCTTAAGTGTTCTCAGTGCAGTTGACCTGGTATAAGAGAATACTGGCGGACAGTGTCCACTTGCGTGAACTGGGGTGACCAGAGAGTGGTGGCACTCCCGCTGACACAACGGCATCCATACGAACAGTTTCCTAAGTAAATGACGAAAATCGGCATGCAAGTGTCAGCTCCCGTGTCCCCAAGACCCCTCGGAGGTATCGGTCCGAACACGCGCTCACTCACCCATCCTGTCCGAGATTTTGGCGCAGAGTGCCTCCAGCGAAGCATAATCCCTGCCGGGTACAAATCGCATCTGCAGGCCTTGGAACCAGGGGTCGCCGTTCTTGAAGAACGTGACGCGGCGCGCACGCCACTGCTCTCCGGCATCCCCATAGCGGCTGGCGACGGCGTCCCAGGCGGCATCGCTCTCGTAGCCCACCGCCGAGTCGTCCTTGGCCCTGCCGGCCGGCGGGGCTGGCTTCGCCCTCGGGGACTCCATCTGACTGGCGGGCCGCTGACGCCGGCGGACCGGCGGCGCCGCGCCGGCGCGCGTCTGGCCGCCGGCGGCGCCGCGGCCGAAGCCCCAGCGCTGCTGCTGCTGCTGCGGCGGCGGCGCGGCAGGCGTGGCCACCGACTGCAGCAGCATCTGCTCGCCGTCGCTGGTCGATTCACCGAAGAGGTCGTCGAGGTCGCGCTCGGCGTCCGTGTCGGTGACGGTGATGCGCGGCGGCGTCCAGGGCCGCCGGCGCCGGCCGCTGCCGCCGTCGCCACTGCTGGGCATCGCCGCGTCGTAATCGATGCGTCGCACGTGGCGGTACGACCGCGGCCGCCGGCCTCTCGTCCAGCCACTGGCGCCGCCGGCGTCGGCCGACTCGGCCCGCTCTGTTGTCGGCCGTCTCCAGGGTCCCGCGCCCACCACGGCCCCAACCGACCCGGCCCGATCGGTTCGATAGGGAACCCGCTCGACCCGGCCGTCGCCCGCGCTGCACGCCCGTCGCCGGCGTGCGGATGCTGCCGTGTTTCCTCTCCGAGCCGTCGCCCGTGCGGGCGTGGTCGCTGGCTCGTCCGTTCCCTGGGGTCCGTTGTGCGGCCGTGCAGCCGATACGGCCGCTGGGCACGTGTACACAGCACGGCCAGTCATCGACCGACCTGCCGGCCTTCACAGGTGTTGACACGGACGAGCCCCGGCCGGCCCACGCGACCTGTCCAGCACACACGGAAAGACGGGAGGCGCCCGACATGGCGCTCGGGATGCCAGACGGACTCAGAAGCAGCAATGGCATTAGGAGGGTGATCCTCAATTACGAAACTTGTTAACATGCATCAATAAGCCTTCAATGCTAGACTTTCGCCTTCAGGTAGAGAGTGGGCAAGCATAGAAGTATGAAATATGGAATTGAAACATTAGAATATTTATAACTGAAGTATTGAAATAGTTATAGATATTCTTGATATTCCTTATTGCAGCCTTCACTTCGTGCGAACCCTGTCCCTGTCGCACTGTCCCGGGTCTCAGTGGAACGGGGGCTGCTGTAACAGCATCACGCGTGCATTTATTGACGCGGGAGAGTGTAAGCCTGCAGTTGTAGTCATAGGACACTGTCGGGCCGGTAGTCCCCGGAGCTATTACAGACGCATAGTCGCGTGGCCGTAATCACTCGGTGTAATTGACACTTATCGTGCTGAGAACAAATAATTAATGGCATGAGGACAGTAACCGTATTGGGTCATGACCATGCCTTGTGGCGTATGTGGCGCTATTGGGCTGTGGGCTATGGCTGTCTGCCACACTGCGCAGTGCACGATATTCGGCCACACGGTGCTGTGTATCGCTTGCAATAGCATGTAATAGTTTTCTATTTAGAACAATATGGAATTAAGTGAGCATTATTGTTCAGTGAGGCGTTTAGATTGGTCAGGCATGGCCGCGAAACTGCGCCGCGTTTGGACAGCTACAGATCCCGAATTCACCTACAGAGCAATGCGGATGTTGTCGACTTTGTGGTAGCGGAGGACGCCCGCGCCAGCAAAAGCCGGCAATGGCTAGGGCCGGAAATGTCCACCGTGACTGGTGCAACTAAAAGCATGAATGCAATTTACGACTTGTATGCACGGATGGGCTCTGTTTCAACCTGGAAGAACACCGGAAAGAGCACTTAACCAAAAGCGCGAGCAGCTCATGTAGACTATAATTTTGGCATGGCCAGATACATGGGTACTTTTACACCCTCGCAATATTGCCGGTGCTCATTTTTTACAGGATAGATTGCAAACAGCACAGCACGGGACAACGGATTGCTGAGATTCTGTATTAATTAGCCATATTCTAAAGACATACTTGCTACGTCCCCACAGGTCAGAGCCAGCTGACCTAGTCTTGTGAAAGAGAAGAAGCTATACCCTCTTCAGGTGTGCCGTCGTAAATCCGCAAGGAAAATTTAAGATGTTATTACAATATCTAAGAACAAACGGACTCTTGTCGTCCCTTTCATATCAGGTCAGTTCAGTGCCATACATTGTCACTGCTCATTTTCCTGTTCAGGTTTTCTCTCAATAACCAAACTGATCTTGCCTCTGCATGAGCGTTCCTGTCTGCTACGCTGATATCAGACCTGCATGTGCACGATTCGTACTAACACAGGATATTTCAGGCAGGTCAACAAGGACCATCAAGGTCGTTTGCTTTTCCCTTGAACGAAAAGAGTTTCTTGCCAACCAGTAATATTATTTTTGCTCGGCAACACCCATGGTTAGTGTCAGAGCCAATTCATGGACAAAACGTCACTTTCAGTTCTACCTTAGGTCAGCGATCTATGCCCACCAGTCTGAGATCACAGCGTCGTGTGAAGGCAGCCATGTGGTGATGATCAACCAGGGGCAACATGCTAATGGTTGGAGAAACATAAAACAACTGAGCATATATCAGATCTCAATGTCATGTAAGTTCAAAGAGGTCACTATTTTTTAGTTATCATGTTTAGTTTATCTTAACCACTTCAACGTGTGTAAGGACATTGCGGGCTGGAAGGAAAAAGAAACCAACAAATATCACGGCAATCGTGCACAGTGTCGCTTCAGCTCCAGCCGGGTTTCCTTGCGCAGTTTTCAAACATCGTCACCGCCTCTCTCAGCTCTCCTACATGACCCTCTGTAGTTGCCATTTCATACCATTGGGGCAGTCCCGCATGTGTACGCTGGTGGGTGAAAGCTGAGCACAACGACGGCAGAGTGAACACCGCACGAGGGTGGGAAGAATCGGATGAATTTAAGATATAAACCTCAACCTTTTAAAACATGTCCCAAATCAGTTACGTGTCAGCCGACGCCGCCCACTCGCTCCCAACATTCTCTGTCTACGGTGCTAAGGCTCATAGACGATTAGATACGTCCGGCCTTGTTAGGGCTGCTTGACCAGTATTGTTAACGTGACAAACTTTTTGGGCACATTGATATGTGCCGGTGAGATGAAACGCGTATGTAACAAATACTTATATACTTGTATATATATATATACACACATATATATATATATATATATATATATATATATATATATATATTCGGCGGTTGTGGCCAAACACAGATATCAGTTTTCGACAGAGCTCAGAATTTTGCCGGCCCGAACAAAAGGGAAGGCAAGGTGACTCGGCGATTTCAGTGATTGCAACAGAAGTGTCAGGTCGCCGAGCGACACCAGAATTTTGACGAAAATTTCAACGCCAAAGAATTTTCGCCTCCTGTCAGTTGCCAGGACTCGTCATCTGTGAGGCTGTGTTTGAGTTCGTCTCGCCCAACTCGAGCCTAACTCGAAATGGAACTTTGTCGTGCTCAGCAGATTGTGAAAGATAGCTTCTCTTTTTAAATTATGCGCTAGGTGATTCGACCAATTCATTACTTACCTGAAGGCCATGGTTCTCGCTATTTTAACTTTCCAGAAAGCGTGCGAAATTTGTGACGTAAGATTCACATGCCCTTAGAGAAGAGACAGTAAATCATCAATTTAGTTCCCTAAATTCACCTGAAGTAGTGAGCATACTCACCTTAAGCCCGCAAGGTTGACAGGTCATTGACCTGTTAAGCAGCCAATAAAACATTGATAAATCTCTCCCACATGTAATGGTTTGTAGAGCGTGCTATTTGGAAGCGCGTGCGATCGCTTGTCATTAGTCGGATAAACCCACACTGTCGTTTATTGGTTGCACAATCAACATGACCTGCACACCTTGGGCTTCTACACCAGAGATTCATATTGCATCGGCAATCAGACCATTAAGACTATTTTCGGGCGTATAAACCAACAATCCAGCCAATTTCTGGACAGAGCAAACGAAAAACACATTCTGAATACTTAGCAATAGCTGTAGCGATCGTGAGCGGTGATCAAATGAAATATTCTCCTGTCCCGCCGCCGTAATGCGCTAGCTTTCACCGGTAGGCTCTTTGACCGCGAATACGTTTATGACATTAAATTGGTGGTAGCGAGTAAATCGCATAACACGCCATTTTGCACACGAAATTCACATTAAGAAATGCGTGAACCATGAAATAAGCTGTCATGTGTATACTTACAAGATCCGTTATTCTGACGCCTCTTCCGTGCGCAACTTCGAGCAGCTTACGAAATTACCTGACGCGTATGAACAGGGAGCAGCAATCGAAGGAGTTGAAATCACATGATTCGCTTCCTTGCGCCCCGTATGTTGCCTTCTGTATTAAACGTGAAATCCAAATATGATCTTCTATACGTACCCCTACTAGTCTTACTCTACGCATGCTCCTTCTTGGTGCCCCCTCCCCCTCCCCCCTGCGAGCACCGCCAACACAATCCCCAGTTGTAACTGGTGTCCGCTCTTAGCCCAGTCTTAGACGGGTTGCTGGGTGATCCCGAATAGGCTTAGAGGGCTTTGGCAGGCGTGCCCAGCATGCCCCGGGGGTACCGAAATGAAGCGTGTCACCCACTGTGGTCCTGCCTCTGCGGCCGATTGGCAGCCGCCTCGCGCTTCATGAATGGTGGTACTTTCCGGGTCCGGCGGCTCCGCCGCCTTCGATTTCGTTTTTTTCGGAAATTGGCTTGGCTTGGCTTGGCCTGGCTTTAGCTGCTTTCGTTCTCTCCCGAGGCTCCGGAAGTTCTCGCCTGTCAGGATGTCAGGTGTAATGCATGTGTGGGTGTTATTTCATCCTCAGGCAATCGCAGAGACGTTGCTTCACGACATGAGTTTGTGCTGAAACAGGTGAAAACGATGAAACATGGCCCAAAATAACCCAACAAACGGGTTTCTGCATGGATCTGGCCCAATTTCATATCAAAGACTGGCCGCTTGGCCTGGGACTTAATGTTGGCACCCACTCCACTGTAAGTATAGGGGCCTCTGCGGTCCTGTTCACTGGAGAAGCTCTGTTCTTTGCTTGGCTGCCCGTGCACTGCTGGGATCTAAGGGCTGCTCTGGTCATGGACAGAGTTTTCTTGGCTGCGATCATCCGAGTATCGTTCTTGATTTTTCTTGGTATAACGTAGTACCCATTGAAGATGGGACGCTGATCCACCTTCAGCAGTTAACCGTATGCAATTGTTACTTATCCTGTCAGTGCACATTTGCTTTTGTAAAATGCACACAAAAAAAAACAGCTTTTCCGCAACAGTTCATGGTCAAGTCAGCACAATTTTTCGCCAAATCGAAACACAACAAATTTGTTGGCAATTGGAGCATATCATTTTTTGTGTCATGCATATAACCGACTGCGACATCAGTAATGTCAGTTCTTATTGTGTCTGAAAGCATGTGTGTGTCTGATGGTGAGGTCGTGTCATTAGAGGTCAAGCTAGGTCACAAATGTGTAATTATTCTTTGGCATTATATTTATAGTCCCTGCACTTGCAAGAATATCTTATTGGGATTCACTACATCAGCATCATTTCGGCGAACATTGTGCGCTCAGTTGTAGTGAATTCATGGTGTGAGGTCATGTTGCGTCAGAGGAATGTGCAGAATGTAAATACCGTCAGATGGCGTTTGCACCGTCGTTGGATGCAGACACGTTGTATTAACGTGCGCGTGTTTTTCCATTTTAACTCGCTTTTGTTATAGGTACTTGCATGCAAGGGACACTGCTCTTCCAAAGATCTAGCAGGGTCATGACCTTGAGTTTCTAGTGTTTGAACGCAAGATTTGAGCTGCCCTGCTATCGTCTGCTACTGCAGTTGCAATAGGATGTCTGGCACAGATTGAGTACGCTTGATCAACCCTGTTCTTCATGACACAGCACCTAACTGCATCATGAACGCATTGTAGGACTCAGCGCCCTCATTCGAGCTGGTACAGGTCTTTCACATGGTTTCAAGCATGAAGTATTTGAAACAGTCTGTCACATTGGACCGAACGTCGTTGATTGCGCCGTCGTAACTAGGTGTCATCATATCACGGGGACAGAAAACTTCAACCTCATGAGCTAGTCTGACCTTGACTTGTCAAAGGTCAAATGCATGGAATCGAACTTACCCGCGGCTGAATTAGTGCCAACAACTTAAAGTTATGTTTCTCCGGTCATCGTAACATATATCTGCATTTTGCAGCAATGCAAACAATGCGTTACCACAGCGATTTGGCTTGGCCTCCAAGATCCCAAATCCCGAAAAAGAAAATAAGCGTTATTGGACAGCTTCGACGATAATCTAGGCAACGAACGCATTGCAATGGACATATCGACTGTGTTATTTCCATGATCTGGGAGGCCGTTTACTTAGCCCAGACTAAAACAAATGCGGGCGCTCTCAGGGCGGGAAGAACGCAAAAAACATTCTGGTGCTTGCGGAAGTCCTTTTTTGCTTTAAGTCACATCAAAACTGCAGGGGTGTAGTTTCAGCAAAATAGGCAAGGGGCGGTGGCTGACCGGGGAAGCCCTCCTTAGATACAATAAAAAGTGGGCTCTGTCCAGGATTTGACCCACTTACCTCCCAACGTAATGAAGTGCAATTTCCAGTTAATAGGAAAATACAGCACTGCTCTGATACGTTTCCTCGCTCTACCTCGGCGAAAGATGTCTTCGTTGGGCATCGTTATCATTTTGTTTGGCGTCGACCGTCGAAATTATGTTACGGCACCCGACACAGGGTCGATGTTATGCGGCTTCAGACGTTGTTAGGCGTGTAGGGGTTTGGGAGTGAAGAGAGTGAGTTGATGTGCGCGACTATTACAAGCTGCCACGGACATCCCCAGCTGGTAGCCGTAGGGCGAGTTGCAGGCTGCAGCGCAGCACTCGCGCTAACCATGTTTGACACGGCTAGTGCTGCTTTGGTGGCCATTGTCGGACGACTACCGCCATCGGTTTAGTCAGCTGGTGGCCATCGTGAGGTTTTTGTGACCGTTCCACCGAATGTTCATGTTGCATTAGCGGTCGGCACATATCAACGGCTTTTCAAACGTTGCCGGCTAAAAATTTGTTCAGGTTTTTGGCTGCTAATATTTGACCGGTTTCTTCTCGATTTTCCACCAGACATCGTGTCGTATCGTGGTAAAATAACGCAACTTGCTGCAGTCTGTTGATTTTTGAACATCACTGAATAATGCCAACACACTGAGACAATGCACACAGCTATATCAGAGCCACGGATGCAAATTAATCGTGTAAGTAAAAGCATGCATCAAGCGAGAAAAAAATGAAAATACTCAGGTAAATGCGGCACGAGCGCGGGGCTTTTATAGCGCGATTAGCTCAGTGACCTGCACTCAACTGAACATAGTACTACAGTTTTCATGTTGTTTGCTCTTTTTACCCGTGAAATATGGAAACCTTTAAAATTGATATACTTTTGATTCCCCATTTGTAATGTCCTGCTGGCACTTTGGCTCCAGAAGGTTAAGGGAGACAGACTCACAGTTGAGGGGTGGGGGTATCGGATATTCAGGGACCAGTGGCACACATTAACAAATACAAAATGACACTCGTGCATGTCACTGGCAGGCCAGTGAGCTATATCATTAGGCAAACAAGCTATAAAGTTCGCACAAAAGAGCGTTGCAGTGAATTCCCCAAAATGACTCAAATTCCTCGCAGTTTAGGCCAGTATGCACAGACTAATATTACACTAGGTCCCAAATACGACCAGAGCTGGGCATATAAATTCTGGGAAATGCAGGACATTGATGTCGGGGAAGATCTTGAATATTCCATTGGGCTAACCTAAGCCGCTTTCCAGCCATTCCAGGAACATCATGGAAGGTTGAATACCTTCTCGGCAGAAGAAGGAGAATAAAATAATGTGATATATACAACAACTGACAAAATAAACGAGTAAGCTCAAGCTGTTCTAGTACTTCCGAGCTAACATAAAGTAAGCGGATGATTCGTACCCTCGTGCAGGTTTCGCGTGGCTTTAGTTTAGACGACACTCCGCTAGATGTCAGGAACAGAGGGGATGAGCCTACCGCCTGCAATCGAACGGAAGAGTTCGCCAGGGATCTTTCGAAAAGACATCGATGCAGTCTGAGGTTATTTTATGTCAACGCATGCAATACACGTTGCAGCTACAGCTTCTCTGAAGCATGAAGCATGCATCGCGTGGTATTGGTGACTATTATTTAAATGAGCATCAACGTGTGATTCGTCAAGAAAGCCGTTTCATTGACAAATTCCACATGCGGGTGTGTTGATCCAGGAAATGGATGTCTATCTTAAAGCTAGAAAACCTGAGATGATTCCGTTTCAAATGCTTGGGCACAGGGGCGCAGCTAAGGGGGATGCTCTCCCTTAGGCCCGTTTTTTCACCATACCTAAATGGCTCCAGACCGAAAGTCGAAAACCAGCATGACACGTGTTTACCGGCTCCCGTCCTCACTCCTTGAGAACATCATAGCTATGTCCCTGCACAGGTACGTACCTAAGAAACAGCTTGGTTTCCACGAGAACAGCATG